ATGCACACCCATGCACACACATATACCACACACACTGCACTCACACACCACATTCACACATACATGAGCACACATGCATGCACACACACGTGCACACACACATATGTACATACACATGACCCCTTCTAGCTAGAGGCTTCACAAGGTACCTGCCCAGCACGAGCTGTGGGCTCGTATCATTTAAAGGGGCTTTGCCTCCTGACCCAGGCTCCCACCGTGGAAGCTCATTTCTCATCCTAGAGGAGTGGTAAGAGGCCATATGTGAGAAGGTCCCCAGACAAGGAGGACCAGGGTCTGCACCAGGGTCCGCACCAGGGTCTGCAGGGTCCCCATGCCCAGAGAGCATCTTGGGAGTTCAGATCTTAGGGGCCTCAAAGGCCTAGTCCACCCCTAACATTTTATAGATGAAGAAACTGAGGCACTGAGCAGTTAAATGACCTGTCCAAGGTCACGATGGCAGAGCTGCCCAACATCTCCCCAAGCAAACAGATCATGCCCTAACAATCCAGATGAAAGCTCTCTTCAGCCTTTGTCTGTGTCCCACCTCTAAAGTACCGGGAGACCGGCTTCCTCGTGGGGCTGAGGGGACAGCTAGACCACAGCTAAGGGGGTCTAGACATTCTCCCTGGGGGAGCTGTTCTTCAGTCTGGGTGCCTGCCCTTGGCCCAGCCCCAGGGTCCTGCCGTCTGGGGCAGCTTAGGACAGGAGACGAGCATCAGCCTGGAAAAGTGGGTCTTAGTGGCACGTAGTAGGAGTGTGAAGGGAAGAGTGGGGCAGGGCAGGCCAGGGAACATCTGAGCCCAACTCCCACCTCTACCCACAATGACACCTTTGGTCTAGACTCCGGGCAGGGCGGGGCATGGACACAGAGGCCCCATTGTCTGGGCAGTACCTGCTTCTCAGGGTTTCTGGTTGCTTCTGGCTTTAAGGGATTTCACCCCATTGAGGGAGGTGGGTAAGGGAGCCTACGGCCCAAGCAGGTAGAAGCCGTGTTCTGGCTGCCGGGACGACCCTGCCCAGCTGGGCGATGGAGGTAGGCACCTGTGCCCAGGCAGCCTATCCTTCAGGGAAGGCCAGGGACAGGAAAACCCTGCACTGGGGACCTTGAGGGGACTGGGCCCCCAGCCTGGCTTTTCCTTCTCACCTTCAGGGCTGCCCCGCCCAGACCTGCCTGCTGCCTGACTCTGGGGTCCATGGTGAACCCAGGGGCCATGAGCTCATGGCTCAGGCCTAGCACCTTCCCTGCAGACCAGAGAAAAGCAGCCTGGGAATGACATGTTTGTTCCCAGGGTCCATCCCCAACTCCCCTGACTCTCTGTTTCCTCAGCTGTAAAATGGTGACAATAATCCCCACAGCCCCAGGGGGTGGTTGACAGGGAGGCCGCATGTAAACCTTCACGCGCGCCTTAGAAATTGTGGCTGGCATTGTTAAGGGTCCAGCCTGGAAGACCTTTGCCAATGATGCCCATCTATCGGCTGCTTCAGCGTTTACAAACCACCTTCTGAGGGGCAGTGAGGGGGCACTGCAGTGGATAGAGCACCAGCCCTGTAGCCAGCAGGGCCTGAGTTCAAATTCGGCCTCAGACACTTACTAGCTGTGTGACCCTAGGCAAGTCACTTAACCCCAGTTGCCTCAAAAAAGAAAACGAAAAAGAAAACACCTTCTGAGTACAATCCTGGCGTGAAGGGCATGTGAGTCCTATCACATCTATTCTGCAGGCAAAGAAACTGAGGCCCAGGGAAAAGTGACTTCTCCAAGGTCACACAGCAGGAAAGTATCAATGGCAAATCCAGAACCTTGTTCAGCTCTTCGCGGCTGATCTGAGGGAGGTCGACAGCCTCACCTGGCTCTTGGCTGGCCTGGGCTGTCTGCAGAAGGCAGAGCTGGGGTCCTTGGGAGGGGGACCCCTGGCCCAGCAGCCCCTGGGTCACACAAACCCTGAGGAGGGAGAGAGGCTCACAGTGAGAGGGACTTGGGTTAGGTCAGTTTTGTCTGTGAGGGGGAATGGTTTGGGGCCTGGGGCTTTTCTGGGGAGCACCCCAGACAGCCACGGCACTGCAGTGGGTGTGAGAGGTGGCTGGGGTCAACATGTCCAGCCCCCTGCACTCTGCCAAGTGGGCTTCAGCCAGGGGCTCTCCTTCCCCTGCCTTCCGCCTTGGCTTCTCTCTTTAACCAGGAGCCAAGGAAGCCAGCCTCAACCCCTCTCGTGGAGCCCTGGCCCCTGGCTCTGCTGAGCCGGCTGGGACTCACCTGAAGGAAAACCCGAAAGGATCTTGATGAAGAAGACAGGCCGGACCCCGGGCAGGCCCAGCAGGCGAGCGATTTCCTTCAAATCAAACACACTGGCTGCTGGGGGTGTGCCTGAGGAGACAGCAGAAGGGGGGTGAGCCAGGAGCTAGCGGGGCCCAGGCAGCCCACCCCCGGAGGCTCCCCTTGCTGGGGAGCGAGTCCCAAAGTCCCTCCTTGCCCAGCTCCACAACACAGGCACTTCCTGAGTGGAGAAGGCATTTCCTCAGATGATCTCAGCCCCTTCACCACGTGGTCAGTGGGCTTCCAGGGCTGCTGCTCATTCCCCTGTCCCTGCTTTCCTTCCTCCTCAGCCAGCCTGGTGACAGCCAGACGAGTCCCCTGGTAACAGACCGCACGGAGAGGCCTCTCCCACTGGGTTCTGGACCCTGGGCCACTTTTGTCCTCTTCAGAGGCAGCCCTCAAGCAAAAGGGATGGAGGGAGAGCCCCTGTTATTACCCACAGTGGAGGAAACTGAGGCCCAGAGAGGGGAAGCCCCCTCTCTATCTGCCCAAGGCAGGTCAGGAACTGGAACCCAGGACCTCCCAAATACAAATGCAACGTGGTCCAAAACCTTGTCTGAGCACCAGACAGACCTTGTTAACAGTGCAGCCCAGACGAAGCCCACCTGGCAGGAAAACAGGACTCAAGAACAGTTTTAAAGCATGTTGTACTCTCAAGTCCACTGAATGAGAGGAGAATGAGCTATCGAGGAGAGAGAAATGCCCAAGCCTCTTCCACTACCCGCCTGGCTGGCTTTGGGCACGTCACAGAGCCACCCTGACCCTCAGTCTCCTCCTCCAAGGAACCAAGGGGACTGGAAGGGATCTCCAAAGTCCCTTCTATCTCCAAGATCACGGGACTTTCTCGGCCCTTTTAGGTCCTCCTTCAATGAATCGTTGGACCTCAGTTTTCTCATCTATGCAATGGGTATAAGAACAGCACCTCCCTCCCAGAGCTGTTAAGAGATAATATGTGTAAAGTGTTTTGCAAACCTTAAGGCAGCAGCTGCTGCTGCTACTACTAAGAACAGTTTGTAATTGGTGTATCAAATTCCATTCCATTCAGATAAACAAAGGTATTTTAGGCACAGAAGAAGCAGGGGGATCTAGGGTCAGAGGACCCGAATGTGAATCCTGGTGGAGAGCTCCCAACCAGGGGAGGGGCTGGGCCCCTGAGAGCGTCTGGCTGTAATAACATTCCTGCTAAGTACAATTGTTTCTACCTGCTTATGCCCCCAGCATCTTCCAAATTGTGGCACTGCGGGGCGAAGCTCTGATCTCTTCACCTTAGTTACAACTCCGGTACAAAGCCAGGCCCAGCCCAGAGTTTGTCAGATACCCAGTCTAGAGATCATCTGTGACTGAGGCACTGAGGGGCTCCTGAAGGAGAAGATGGCAGCCTAATTCTGTTTGTTTTTTTGTTTTGTTTTTTGCTAGGCAACGGGGTTAAGTGACTTGTCCAGGGTCATACAACTAGTAAACGTCAAGGGTCTGAAGCCAGATTTGAACTCTATCCACTGCACCACCTCCCTGACCCAGTCAACTTAATTCTGATGGGCCCTTTAGTTGGGGAAGGGCTGGTCTATGAATGAAGGGAAATGTTCTTGTTAGGTGGGTCAGGCAGTGATAGAAGTCAGGCAGAGAGAAGCCAGCCGGGCCTGGGGAACCACACACACACACCACACACACACTCACACA